TGTGTGTGTGTGTGTGTGTGTGTGTGCGTGTGTGTGTGTGTGTGTGCGTGTGTGTCTGTGTGTGTGTGTGTGCGTATGTGTGTGCGTGTGTGTGTGTGTGTGTGTGCTGTGTGTGTGTGCTGTACTGTGCTGTGTGTAGGCTTCCGCGGAATATGCTCGTATTTTTACCGATAATTCCTTTGAGCATTGCTCAATTATTTGACCGATTATTCCCGTAATCCTAGCTGTGTGTGCGTGAGAGAGCGCATGGCTGTTATAACCACTGGCACTGTATTCTACTGCCCTTAATGCCTACCTTATTCCCCTCACGACTGACTGTTGCACACCACGGGTGTGTACCGAGCGCTGTTGCCTGCATCATACTATCATCCAGGCTGGACGTGGAGGATATGACGCGAGGAAGGTTTTCTCTAGGAGAACACTTCTTTTACCTTTGTAGGGAGCGACACACAATTCCCTAAGTATAGCCGACGTCGCACCAACCGTAGGCTCTTCTTCTTGTACCTTGCAGAGTAAGTGTCCATACAGCTTACTTACGAGTTGAACCTGGCAATGTATTAGTAAGATGATTGTGTTCCTGATAATGCACTTTCATATCTTTGTCACGTGACTAAACGTGTGCAGAAGATGATCATGGCCCATTAGTATAGGCATTACATGGGGTGATGGGCAGTGGAACCAATATGGCCGACATGATAACAGTCATCATGATCCAGAGGTACTGTAGCGGCCTGACTCCTATTACGTCACTTCATACATACATACAAGCATGCGCAAGAAAATTAATCATTCTCTTTGGTCTCAACTCCTTTGTAATTGTTGTCCGGTTGGCCATTGTAGCCGTCGACTAGGGCCCGACATAAAGCCCCTAACGTGCAGAGGTTGTGTGGAGTTGGCATCAGAACAGCATGGTCATGTGATAGATGTGGAACAGCTCAGTAGAGTGCACTATAATAGTAATCGTTCTGTGTGAGTACTAGTAAACGTTGTAAACACAATGGCACGCTGATACGAAGTATCCCAATGGGCAGCGGGAAGGTGTACATAATTACTTGATAATAATAGTAATTGAAGTACATGTACATGTATCATCGCCAGCGAGGACATGTGGGAGTTGTAATTTTTGTAATTCATGGGCCGAGCTGCTACTTACAGGTAGCACTGATTCTAGCCTGATGATTGCGTAAGCATGAAACTCAGAGTAGCGACAATCTGGTCTTGCTTGCCCTTGTTGTCCTGGGTAACAATTCTATAGTAAAAAACTGTTAATGTCTGTGGTGCCTCCTTTGCACCATGGCTGGTAGCTCGTAGCTGTACTGATGAGGCCTTCATGGCCGAAACAGCTTGCTGTCTACAGCATTGGGTAATAAAAAATGACTTATCGTTTGAGTACATGTACAAGGTGTAAAGGCCAGTGATCTAGCGACCTCAGTGTCACTGACTATAACTTTGAGATTTGAGTGATGAGGCATATTAGCTATGTAAATGTACATGTAGTGTAATGCTGTCCTTATCATGGAGCATAACATAATTATATCAATCGAAGACATAGCTGTGGGGCCTGCCCAAGTAAAAATCTAGTCATACGAATAACAAACAAACAAACAAGAAGAGGATGGAAAAAGCTTTTCAGAAAACAGTGATGAGTATATTATCTGGATCAGTACTGGTTTATATGTACTGAAGTACCCTCAAAATAAAAGCGTAATTGACTGCATCATGGCGCAAATCTAAAAGGTGCGAATGACTGGAGTGGAACGTGTAAATGACTGTATCATGGCGCAAATCATACGAATAAGTAAGTTGATGTGCAATCAGTTGGCATTGTATAACTTTACTAACAATGTTACACTGTACCGTTACCAGGCACGGTGTAAGAAAGAGAAGTTTAGTCAGTATAGCAAGATCGTGCTATAGAGTGTACGATCACAAACATTGCTGAGGTCGCGCAGCAGGTTGCAGGCACAGCGTGCAATCACGAGCAGCGCGTGTGTGTGTAAATAAACGCACAACAATAGTCGTTAGCAGTTGCTTATAAGTTAAAACGCATCGACAGACAGGCTGAGACAGCCCACGGAGGGGCCATACCTTAGGATGGAACGGGAGAGATGAAATGGAGAGATGAGAGGATAGGAGATGAAATTATAATTATTATGCTTTCAGCACATTCATCTGGCATGGACATCCGTTTCTTTTACTTCGAAGTAGTACTTGTATCATACATGCAGAATCCAATGTGCATCACAAAGTGATGATCTGCTCATGGAGCGCACAAGCAGCACACCGAGCGAAAGCCATACTTTCTCTTGGGCACCAATGGCTCCATCTCCAATTGTCCAGATCTGCTGATGACCCGATTGGAGTGCAGCTCCAGCTCCGCACCATGGTAGATCTGATAATGATCCATGGTCTTGGAGTCTTCAAGCAGGTGTGAGTCGAACAGGACGTTCATATCAGCCACATGGTCCATAGGCCAGCCTTGCAGAAACGCCAGCTGTTTCTGAGCAGGTAACAAAGCCGAAATGAAATATCCTCGATTCAGTCATCTTTGGTTTGGTTTTTATCATTTCAGTTCGTTGCCTCAACAGTACAAATCACAAACATCAAGAGGGACGAACGAAAAGAGAAAGTAGTCTCAGCTACTAGTATAGTTAGGAGGCGGTTTTAGATGTTTGCAAGAACTAAGCGTTAGCAAACAGGTTGTAGCCGGGTAGGATGCGTGTTATGTACGAATAGAGAATACGATGGCCGTTTAATGTATACAATTGTATTGTACCTGCCGTCACACATGTTTCATCAGCGTGGAATCCATCCGAACAAGCCCCATCCCCCACACGCGCACAGTGATACGTACTCAAATCTTGTCCGCAAGTCTCTGGAGTACGCTCTAGTCTACGTCTCGTAGACTCCTGGCGACTAATCCGGCAACCTGGCCACATGGTGCCATGCAGTATTTGTCACCTTAGCCTTCGGTATTTAATTTTACTTCAGTAACTAGACTAGAGTTGAACTGAGTACTGCTATCGGAGAAGAGAATCGGAAAATAAGGATGTAGTGAATATGTAATGCAATAAGGATACTAATCGTAGAAAAAGGAGTGTGAGAAAAAGAAAAAATAGCAATGAAAAATATCAATTGTGCACTCATAACCATGTATAAACAATTAAAATGAAACAATTCCAGAACGTTTTCGTGTGACCATCATCAGTGGAACATCGTCACATAGTAAGAATCACTAAAACAACCAGTTATATAGCTAGAGTAATATGAAAAGAAGCGTGAGAATGCAGCACAGCTAGCGGTTATGCATAACGCGTGTAGTGTGAACCTTTGCAGTGTATCACGCACTCACAGCTGCCACATTCATCTACTGCTACCATTCTCAGATACACTGCAAAGGTTCACACTACACGCGTTATGCATAACCGCTAGCTGTGCTGCATTCTCACGCTTCTTTTCATAATTCTAGCTATATAACTGGTTGTTTTAGTGATTCTTACTATGTGACGATGTTCCACTGATGATGGTCACACGAAAACGTTCTGGAATTGTTTCATTTTAATTGTTTATACATGGTTATGAGTGCACAATTGATATTTTTCATTGCTATTTTACGACTGTTGTCTCCTCGTCGGTTATTTAAAAAGAAAAAAGAAAAAGGTTGTGTGTACACAGGCTCGAAGTTACCCCCGGACCCGTTCTAGTACTTGGGCTTGCAAAGTCAGGAGGTAAGCAAGCGGTGAGTGTAAGATAGCGCTGGTGGTATTTTACCAAACCAAGGTGTCATTTTTTGTCCACAGATCCTCGCAGCCAGGCATGGCCACCGTGACAGGGCTCAGGACTGGACAGGAGAACCAGCACAAATGGTATGCACTCAGAAGCGAAATAACTCCACCAACTCTTTTCTAAAGAATACCAGTATTGCAGAGACGTTGTCGTTCATAATGAGCTCTGGCTCTCTTGGAGTGTTTCTCTCAAGTTGAACGTCAAAGAAGTCTGAATATCGAATTGGATCGATAAGATGAGGATGTGTCATGGTCATCGGCTCGTGCGTATGTGTGCATTTTACTTCGAGACAGGACTGGACTGGCACAAACTGACATGACAAGCTGGGAGCGGACTGGCAGATTTGCGAGGCTCTCCACGAATCCTGCGGGGGATCCGTGTGCCCAGCTGTCTCGAAGCCAGGTGGTTCCATGATTTCTTGTCGTGTTTTGCAGTGAATTGCACATGGTTCATGAGCCTGACCACGTAACTAAGTAGTGCACAGACATCCGTGAACACTGCATGATGATGTGCGGACACTTCAACCTTGCAAATCTCCAGTGTAGATCTGTCATACTCTCTGTACGAGTGAAGCGCTATGCACCCGTACAATCATGTGGCTGAACATGAATGTAGATAAACATGAATGAAGCAAGGGAAAGGTTGCAAGAAGCTCGCCGGATGGGAGGAGCTCGGGGGGTCGGCGACTGAGACTCTGGGTGAGACCCTGCACGAATCGTGGTATGCCACACGGACTCAGATGAGGGCTGGGTTTGTCTCCAGAGCAGTCGAGGTCTTCTTATCCATTTCATGCGCTTTTCAGCGCACTACCTCGGACTGGCCGAAATCACGGAAATCGGTGTGTCGATAGTACGGTCTTGAGTGCTTGGAGGAAGGCGTAGCAAGAGTCCTCATCCAAAATGGTTTACGCTGAGTACGTTGGGTATTACTACCTTCCTTCGGATCTTACCCGTATGCTGTATAGATCCAAACCTGAAAATCAGAGCTCGCAGAGCCTAAAGAAGGTCGTGATGGACCGAGCCAAGCGTCAATTCAATCAACGACCAGCGGACGCCGAACCCGTGCTAGTCTCCATCGATGTGGAGCAACAGGGGAGTGGAGCGGAGGCGCATCTGGTCGTCGCGTCCTCTGCCCGCACACAACAGCTTACGATCAGCTACAATACGAGCACGCTGGGCCGACGGCGCGGTAAAATGCTTAGCGGCAGCGCCAATGCTGGCGGATCGATAGCTGCTCGAAAGTCTGCAACGATACAGCACGCAGGTATCGTGGAGGGGCAGGCTAGCGGTGGACGAAACGATGGAGGTGATAAGGATACGAGACAGTACTGCAGTGTGCCCGGTACACGGCTTGTCATCTCACTATTCGTTGGGCATTTGTTCTGCTTCCTGGAGCGTCATCCCATGACCAGTGCGGCGAACAAGGAGGGGAGTGCTACCCCAAGGCAAGGTCCCAAGTCCCGTATGAGCAATGTTTCGGCATCTTCAACTTTGTCCTCGTCCAGTGAAGCCAATGTATCACCAGACCCCATTCCTTTTCTAGTGGTGTGCCATGTCTTCAGCTGTGCCAGTGTGAAGGACGCACAGAGACTCATGGAAATGGCGCAGACACTCTCCATCACATCACGCTCGCCAGCTAACACGATGAGCAGGAAGCCACCAGGCACGGGTCCGGGTGGCATGGTACAAAGCGGCAGTAGCTCAGATCTGCAGGACGACTCCGCGTCGCTGACGTCGGAGGACCATGACGTCAGGTACTTGTATCACTCGTCGTCGACGCACAGCTCCATCACAAACTACAGCACCACGTCCAGCACAGTGTCCGGGCCCGGGGTTAGCCCTGGTAATGCTACTAATGGCGTAACTCCACGACGTCCATCGGACTTGTCAATGGGCGCACATGATGGAAAGTGGACGACCAGGGCATGGCTAGCGGATAGCGCTGGTCACGCTGATACTGATGACGAGCAGGACCAGGCTACGCCCAAACGACTGAGCACCGTCAGCAATTTCCTGCAGCGGTCATCACCGCAGGATAGCGCGTCTCATCTCCACCCGACGGCGACGCTCACTGCTGGCAACACGCTCGACGACATTTCCGCGTTTGGCGCCAACGAGTGTGCATCTGTGTCGGCCACGCCCAAGACCAGTCGGGGATCAGTCGGTTCGTTTTCATCCAGTTTCAGCCAGCAACTGTCGTTGGGAGCAGCCACGACGCCTATTCGACAATCCGCTCCAGGCATGGGTACGCTCAAGACCAGGGTGCGGCGCACATCGCACGCAACTCTGACAAGTACTCAAATCACGCTGCCGCCCGGTGAGCCATCCTCGCCCGTGTACAATCCCCTCGGAGATCAACCACTGCCACCGCCTGGCGGTGAGGAGGCTGCACCGGGGTCTATACCCAGGATAGGTGTGGTGGGCACTGATGATGATAGTGATGATGAACCGCTGTACGAGCGCCTCGTCTTGTGATTAGTACAGTCTCGTGAAGAACTACTGTACCGGATTGAGGTCACATGACGTATGCGATTACGTCATTATTTGAGCGTTTGTATTCACGTTGCGATAAACTGGTGCTTGAGACTCTCTTTCTGTATGTACATGTGTGTGTGTGTGTGTGTGTGTGTGTGTGTGTGTGTGTGTGTGTGTGTCTCTCTCTCTCTCTCTCTCTCTCTCTCTCTCTCTCTCTCTCTCTCTCTCTCTCTCTCTCTCTCTCTCTCTCTCCCTCTCTCTCTCTCCGGCTCTGTGTGTCTGTCTTTATCGACCTTGATTTATTCCTCTGTGCACTTAATGTCCTATCCTCCCCACATTACTGCTTCTGAGCTGTGTGGATATTACAGCTATCTGCCTTGCTATAAACTATCTTGAGTATATTCTACTTCATAGGTTTAGCAGACATCTCCCTTGCTAGATCTGCCTCTGAGAACGTCGAATCCTCGAGTTGATTGTGAACGTAGGCACTGGAAATTTTTAAAAAGAGAATCGAGCTCCATAACATAAATTAAGGCTTGACAGGCGACCATATCACTTCATGGTGAGCACTTACGTTACGAATCCCATCTCGTTCCCACACAGTTCACAAGTTCATGCTCTGGCTCATAGTCACCATCCGCAGCAGACGTGTGTTTTCGGATGACCCACTGGACTCTTTATCATCATAACATCCTCTATTAGTCAAAAATAATCCCATTCCTTTTCTTGCATAGTGTTTTCTTCAGATACTTGTGAAGTTGAAGTTGAAGTAGTTGCACACATGTAAAAGGGCATAGCTTCCTGGTTGTGATGCGACTTTAAATAGATTATAATATTAAACACCAACAACATCATTAAACTCCCTCAGGCAAAGCAGCTGCTGCAGGTGAAGGTGAAGGGCACTACCCTGGATGAGGATCATTAGCCATGACGGCTCACTGGGAGTCATAGGTGATCTGCAAGCTAACGCTGCTGCCCTGTGACACCTTGCTCCGGTTACTCCGGTTGCTGTAGCGGCCGTCGTGAGTTCCCCAGGGAACGGAGAGGAAAAGGTACGCTTCTCAACGGCCGAAGAGAGTTGGAAAGCTGTCTTCGTGCTCAAAGAAGGGTGTGTGCAGACTGCAGAGTGTGCGTGTTGTTGTGAACGTGGACTCCACAAAAACGTTCTCACTGTTTTGTCTAAACCTTGCTCCGTACTCGCGTGTTGAGAGCGAATTCACTGGCAGGATCATAAGACGTC